AAAATATGTACGATCCAATGAAAGTTGAATACAGAAGTTTATCACACGAGTAATCAGTTACCTCTTTCAATTCGGCCCAAGCGTCCGCATCCAGATTCCAATTGTAACGTGGATCCGCGGTGACCCGATCCGCGGCCCCTAATCCGGCCACATTCTCTTTCTCGGTCACGGACATGCTCTCGGTGCTCGCGTTCAGTGCTGCTCGGGAATCTTGGAAACGAATACGCAAACCCCGAGGTGATGTGATCTCTGACCAGATCCGTTCCAGGCCGCAGCGTAGAGACTCCTCTTCCACGCGAATTGCGAATCCGGCACGACGATGAACCTCTTGTCGGCGTAGAACCTGTGAACCGGACGGTGAGGGGAAGGCAGCGGTGAGATCAAGAACCAAGGGCGACTGACATGATGTGGATACACTGAGCATAACGACAGATCAGGGTCGGGTGAACCCACGATAAACTAATGATACGTTTATCCTGGTTCGCACTTCGGCCATTTATAAAATAAAAGCATTCAAGAACACCTCGGGAACAAGTTAAGAAGCAGTATGCTCGATGTGTCCGTGGCACGATAAGTTCATCGCGTTCTTATGCGTTCCGCAATCCCGTCAAGAATAGTTGAAAACGATCTCTGACTGGTCGGTGGAGAAGACGCTACTTGGTCTGAAACGCTGCAATCTGGTTTAATTGGTAACTGGGAGGTACACATGAGAGCCAATCAACGGTTGAAGAAACATGAGAGCTGTTCAGTAATAAAACTGCTCACAAACAGCGTGAGTTCAGGTAGCGTTCGTGCGCGGTGGCAAATCGCATCGAGACTTCCGATGCAGTCCGCATTCAAGCATTCAAAAATACTCTGTCAAACCAAAAAATGGAACGAATTCAATCAGTTTATCAAACGGATGCGAGAATGTGGTCGAGTAATCACCTCACATTTTTATTCCTCGATAATCACTTGCAAAATAAAGTGCAATTAGGGTTATAATTAATCAACAACAATTGTCCCACAACACTACTCACAAGCAATTGTGAGTTAAATCCGAATTAACAATTCAGCCTAGTAGGTTTGTGGCCAGTCAGCTCGTAACCTGCACGGCAGACCTGACTTGGTGAGAGGCTTTCGATTGGAGTTAACAGAAAGTCAACTGTGTCTCCCCTTGTTGCCATCGGGCCAAATTGAACTGACTGACTATCTCTGAAGACGACACCTGAACAAACATGAATTGGCAATTCGGTTCAGTCCAGGCATGAACTGGTTGGCACAGTGGTAACACACACGCCTTCTATGCGATGGATCTGAAGTTCAAATTCCGGACGGGACGGTGGATATGCACTGCTGATGAGCTCTAATAAGAGCAAAACTCGAGTCTGGTGCTTCCGAGTGTATGGTTGTAATTGTGACTTAAATGCGGATTATAAAAGCGTCGCACGAATGATACCATGGGAACGAATTGTGAACCAGTACAAGTCCGAGCAAAGTTAGCCCGGGGCCAATATAATGCATACTCACATTCAAAATACGGTGACTAATTTCTATCTGCTTTCGTTTCAGTTGTGTCAATTTTTGCGAGATAGCCAACTGGCCGGTTTTCATTTGTTGGACAACTTCGCCAATTTGCTGAAAAAAACAGAAAGAGAGAGAGATGAAAACCAGCGCGATAGGTAGTTAACAAAAGAAAAGATTGTGTACAAAAGAGAAAGGCAGTGGTGATAGGGCGGTTAAAATCGTTGGTTCTTAAGGTTCCTAGTTAACAAATTTTTGCCATCAGGCTACTTTCCCGATAGACCGTTATGGCTGTCATACACTCTCCTAATGCAACTTTACGCAGTTCTCCGCTCAAGATTATGGCAATCGGTCATCAATATATTGTTGGTTCCCACGATTTTACCACTTTTGTTAATTGTGTGAAGTTCTGGAAACAAAGAGCTGGGAAACAGCACCAGTCTGAACAAAACCAGTCGAGAGCAATGGAGGATTGGCTTCAATTTCAAAGAGGGAATTTGTCGTGTATAGAATAAATGAAGCATGAACTGAAAAGATAGAAAGCACTGTACAGCTGTTTTGACATGGTTGGATCTCATCAGCAGTGCGAATCCATCGACTCAACGGGCATCGAACCCGGGACCTCACAGATACAACGCAAAGCATGCTACCCACTCCCGGATTCGATCCCTAGTTCGGTCGATGGATTTACACTGTTGATGAGATCCAATCAGGTTGAAACAGATGTACGGTGTTGCCTAGCTTTTTAGTTCACGCTTCATTTGCTATATACATGACGAATATTTCTAATCCATCCGCAATCGCTTTTTCGTATCAGAGCTGTTCTGACCCATTTTAAATCGAAAGGGATATGGCACGTGAACTAAACCCCCTTCTCTGATCGAGCAACTTGAAACAATTGACAAAATTCAATAATTTTTGTGAATGAACGATCAACGATATGGACTTTGAGTGTAGACGGTAGAGCAAAAAAAACTTAAAAAAGAAAAAGTAAATTCCTCTGCACGGAACATCATCATCTTTCTCCCCTAAACTGGTCAACAGTTGTCTCACAAAGCACCAAACATTCGCACAAAATCGGATACTACTGCGGTCGAAGAACACACGTGGAAATCATGAATCGCATAGTATTTGGCTATATTTCATGATTCTGAGTGGCCACGGCATACAATCATCTCGTGTACGCGTTGAAAGAGGCCCACATAGAAATTTCAAACTTATTACCATACTAGAAATCCGTTTGGACAACGGGGTACAGGATTTGGAGAGTAGGCTTGTGGTTTTGGATAATGGCGATAATGCCCGAACACAATTGCTTGATCGTGGTAGATTGTCACACATCTGCGGTGTGTACTACTCATTTCATCGAATAGAGTTGAGCAATGTGTGACGTTTGACGAGTCCGGCAGTGGGTGAGCAAAGGTCAATGGTGGTCAAACAAACCTAGTGTAGAAGTGCGAAAACTCCGATCAAGGGAGTCGCTCGTATGCACGTTCTGTTTGAGGCTATCGTGAAGGACCTAATTCAGACTAGTAGGTTCCGATCGTTAAGACCAATGTTGCTCACACCGGTCAGTCGTCTGTTACGCAGTGATTTTCTGGCAGTTGCCGCGCCCGATTAGAGAACATCACGTGAAGGTCAACAGGGCGCGCGGAAACGAAGCGAGAAGACACTAGATAAGGTAGGCATCATTATTGTTTCATCATCATCATCATCATCATCATCATCCGAGTCATCATCCGAATCCTCATCATCATCTAATTATCATCATCATCATCATCATCATCATCATCATCATCATCATCATCATCATCATCATCGTACAGCGAAATACAGCGACGCGAAGTTCACCGGTCGCAGCCAAACTCACAATACATACAAGGTTAGTGGAAGCCGGGGTAAACAGTAACGCACCATACAAATTTGGACCCGAACTTAGCTCTCAATGTAATTGTAGATGTAGTTAGAGAGAAACTCTACATTGAAATATCGATCATCGTCATTATTATATAATTTGCCTGACCGTTCGGGAGTAAAAGTGGACCGAGGTGTTTGAAGGATAGCACATTCTCGATTCGTCGACCGTTGAGGACTGACAACAGCAAAACGGATTATACAGTAAGTATTATCGATAGTTCCTCCTGGAAAATCTAGCAGTTACAACAGTACTGATGGCAGGCATCACTATCAAACCAACCAACCAATCGGTCAGATTATGTCACAAACAGTGGCACCATCCAAAGAGGCATATCAGGTTATGAAGCGCTGAGTAACCGGTTGAACGAGTAAGAGCATGTTTCCAGTTTTCGAACTAGTGGTGGTAGCCAGCGAGGCAGTTTGTGACTCGGAAGAGTACAGTCAAGAGCATCAGATGGATAAATTTCAAGCAGAACAACGAATACGAAATCAGCACAAACAGGAATCTCACCTTCAAAATTGCGCTCTGTTGCTGACTGAATGCAACCTGTTCTTGTTTGCGTCGTTTCAATTCGGCAAATCCGACAAGTGGTACGGGAATCGTGCAATCCGGATGAGGATTGTCTGCCTGAGCCTGTGAATCAGGAATGAAGCAATGTGGGTGAATTTATTTTTTTAACAATCTTAAAGAAAAAACAACATGGGGTAAACCAGTGCTATTAAATGAAAGACTTAGGAAAGGACCTCCTGAAGAAAGACCTCGTGGGTCTGATAAGAGCTCACTACCAGATTCACGAAACATGCGATTTGAAGAACAGTTTTTTATGGTACGTACTTCGGTGAAAAGAATTCACTCGGAGGGGGGCACATAGATACGAAGTACCTCATGTAGCTGCAGTCGAAAGACACATTTGGTCTGTTTACCGGGAATCATTTTGACAGATCCAGTCTCACGAGTTGATTTAAAAGACGCAGTCCAATGGGCTCGTCGTAGAATGCGATATATTCACCTATCAATCAACCACAACTGCCGTTATGGATAGGTACATAGGCCATTCCTGCTAGCTAGCTACAACGGTGTACTGTAAAGGCTGGTTCAACAAAATTTACCGGACAATATGTAACTATATAAGAGTAAGTTAGTCCCAAAGTATTCCAACTTGTAGGATGACCGAGGAAATGGCAGAGAAACTGAACATTATAATTCGATTTGTTAGCATAAAACACTTGATAATTGGAGAAACACAACGCTTTGCAAATGATGAAGACGACGCAGATTACGAAACCGAAAAGAGAACGGATGCGTCTTACAAGAGGTGTTTTTAGCATCCTTGGTTTTGAAAATACCGCTCTGTACTTAAGCACTTTATCTTATCAACGGTGGAGAGTGGATTCTTGAAGAAGGATACAAGCAAGAGAGACAGAAAAAACATCTGAGNACATCTGAGATGGAAGTCGTGAATACGGGGGAGATGGTTTGCGAACTAACAGACTAATGAGACGAAGTCAGTGATGGAATGATCGTCGACATGCTCGAAGAAGTGATAAGAGGGGAACGGAAAAACTAGTGAGGTCAATTGAAGGCTAATTAGCACCACCAGCTCTTGAAGTATTCCATAGATTCTTGCAACACGTTTGCATTTATGTGCGGACAATGATGTACTAAGTCTTGTCGAACAAATAAGCCTTTGACCATGCAAGTAAGTGATTGAGACCGGCAAAAGATTGTGATCTAATTAGTTAAAAAACTAGTTAGTTTAAAACTTTCAAAGAAAGAAAGATAATAGTTCATAATTGGGATACAAACCATTGGTATCCAGATCACTGGGTGATGGTGGCGCAGTGGTTTAGCCACTGTCACCGGTGTGCTTTGGACCCTGTGGTCCGAGGTTCGAACCCCGTCACCGCCACCCAACTTTGGTGGTAGGCAGCCTTGCTGTCGTTCGGTTGAACACAAAGCTTAACCGAGCGGGGAACAACGGAGTTCGCCATTTCAAGTCCTGAGGTTTAGGTTGCAGGTTTCTGTCATTGAACAATAAATGTTCGGGATTATGGGGCCTACTCCGTCTATTGTTCATCACGTTCGTAATACGTATTAAAAAACTGTCTGGTTACTGAATAATGATCACCTGCTTTCCCCTACCCGTCCCACAAAAACTGCCAATAAGGGAACAGGCTGTGTGTGAGCGGTGTTAAACCAATAACACTGCTACTTACCTGTTGCCAGATCAGTTTATCAATTCCCGCTGGGGGATTCTCGAAATAAGCCGTCAATTGGTTCGATGATGGACGGACTTCCGCGGAGAGTTTGCATGCGCAAAGCTGAGACTGCAGTTGTGGAGCCACACTCGGACTGGATAAGTATTTTTCAAGTTGACTAGATGGGACGTTTGTGAGATTGCCTGAAATAAGGATGTGAACAACATAATAAATAATAAACTGCATAAAAATTGCAAATTTGCTTTAGTTTCTTGACAATGTACATCAGACACACACACAAACACACGTGTGGATGACATTGAAAACACTATCTGTCCGTTGTTCAGTGTTTTTTAACGACACATTTTGTGTGCCTTAGACGAAAATCCTTGCATATTATGCTAGATGAAGAATAATGCAGAAGGATATTTTTATTCTACGGAACTGAGGAACTATCCGTATTAGCATGGTAAAATGCCATGATTTACTGCTGTTATCTTACATGGTATTGGTGACCGAATGACACAAGTCATCACAATAGACTCACATTCATCAAGTTCCCAACCTATCGAGTGTCGGCCCACTTTATAAATAGACAGCTCCGCTGCCATCCATTTGGTCAATATGACGTATTTGTATTTATTTTAGATCTCAATTGTCAGAATCCAACCTGCATTAAACCAATGCAGGAATCGTTATTCGAAAGAAACAGTCTGTGGTTCGTGTTTCTGAGAGCAATACTTCCGGGTTACCCGAACAAACGGCGATGAATTTCCGCTAACCAAAACAATGAGGCGGCATGTGAAAACCGCAGTTCGTTGAGTTCTGGTGTCCAATCAGTCGAATTATATACCCTTCGACTGTGATTTAGACATCCAATACGCTGTGATGCTCAACTGAATCCGGACAGCATCGCGACCAGGAACCAGCTTCCCCAGATAAGCCAACAACTCGGCAATAGCACGGCATCATCACGACGAGACTGCACCTTAACGTAATGTGATGGCTTGTGCATCTCTGTGACCCAACAGGCTACACACGTTGGCTTTTATCAAGCTGCAGGGCCACAGGCTTTTGCCGAACCAAAGATCTAATCATGCTTGGAAGGTCAATCGGTACAGGTTAGACAAAGTTCAGCCTCCTGGTCCTCCAGGATGGGATTTCGACTTGAGTCGACGTCTCAGTCGATAAAACGTGTTGCAGGAATAACTGATCCAAGCTAATGGGCTTCCAACCCGCCTTAACCGCTGCCTTGCGGTTAGGTTTTTGGAAGCATAGTTTCCCCGTAACGAATTTGAATAAAGAAGCCAAAAACACAGGTTTGCACAATGTATCCTGGGTCACTTTGCTGCATCTGTACACGTGCATACTTCAATCTATGTGATCATTATTATATGGTCACTAAATAACATATATAAATGATCACAGACTGCAGTGTGCACGTGTACAGATGCAGCGAAATGATCCAGGATACACTGTGCAAACCCGTGTTTTTGGTTAGGTTTTTGTCAAAACTAAAGGCTTTGTTTGAGAACCCTAATCGTTCTCCTGCTTAGTGGCTAGACACCCTGGCAGTACCCGTCCATAAAGCTCCAAAAGACAAACAAAAAATAATTTCATACGGCATCGATCGTCTCGCAGGATAATCAGGACCGCGCTGCCCAATGCATCGAGCGGGGTGGGTAGTAATAAATGGGCTACTGCTCAGATATCCCAACCTTTGTTTAACTCTTTGTCTTCTGTACCCAACCCTATTCCTTTACACCTTCTTCCGACCTGTAACATTCTCTCAGACAACTTGGTCATCACTCGCCAAAAGTCTTTGCCAAATAGCACGGTAACTAGTTTACCTGTAAATAAAGATTCTAAAGCCTCGTCAACCTCTCAATCTGGGGGCTTTCAACGTGAGGACTCTTATGCAGGTGGGT